ACCAAATAGAAAATATTCACAGTTTAAAATATGAACCACTTTCGAACTATGAAATAGTTCAAAACAATCCAGAAAATAGAGAATAAACTGTCTTATCTCAATTATCCAAAAAATTTCCACCTCAGTTCAAACAAAAATAAACTGATTTATGCACACAGTGCAGTGATATATTCGGACTCGAAACCGAATCAATAACTACAAACAATTTCTACAAGCAAAAGCTAAGGTTGAAGGATGAAGAACAGATTTACATAAAAAATTATAGAAGTCCACATAGTCAAAGGGATAAAATTAACATACAGGTACAAAAACTAATTGACAATTAAATAGTAGAACCGTTGGTATCAGCCTATAATAGCCCACTGTTATTAGTTCCGAAGAAATCACTCCCCGGATCTGATACGAAAAAATGGCGATTAGTAATTGACTATCGTCAGGATAATAAAAAACTGTTGTCGGATAAATTCTCGCTACCTAGATGTTATGATATTTTGGATCAACTAGGAAGACCGAAATATTTCTCATGTCTGGACTTAATGTGTGGCTTTCATCAAATCGAACTTGAAAAAAGTTCACGAGATATAACGTCATATTCAACGAGCAATGGCTCGTATCGTTTCACACGATAATTTCTTTTATTTTCGCAGTTTACAATTTTCTTTTTTCTTTTTTTTTCCTGAACTTTGGGGTACCTTTGTATTTATTTGTTTGTATTGTTTATTTTTTGAATTGGCATAGGACTTTTCTGCCAAGCGAAGTGATCGTGGCAAGAGCTCAAACCGAAGTGTAATGCTCTTCAACCGGACCACACTCAACGGTTGCGCTTTCGCTCTCAGAGCCAACAATTCTGGAATTCTGGCATCTGCCTCGATACCCGCGAATAAAAGCAACAGTTTCTAGATTTCGAATATTCCAATAACAATGTCAAGTCTTACTTTTTTTCTGTCTGCGCATTTTTTGGTAAGTCTGTTTAAGAATTTTTGAGTACTTTTGGTTTTCTTGCATTTTATGTAGCGGCTATCTCAGGTTGTTTATATAAAATGATATTGATACACTCGCAGATGTGCAAATTGGAAACTTTTTTGTATTGACAGTATGCTCATCTTGTTTAAACACTGATTGAATCGTAGCACAGGCAATTTTTGAACTCGTGTATATGTCATCGGCAAAGCGTTTCTATTTTTCTTATTTGCGTTTCACGTAAATGTGACAAAAATTTGGTGTCAGGGTTTTTCTCGTGGCAGAGGAAGGGAGTATTCTCCTTGGTATTACCTGGTCAGGGCTTACCGCATTGTTTTTCCTGGTTTTACGTTACGTTAAGTAAAACAATAACTGTTCCTCCTCGTTATAATGGATTAATTCCTTATGTCAAGAGTCGCCCCTCAAGTTGGGTGTACAAATTGAAGTCCATCGGTCAATTCGTTGCTTTAGAGCCCCTCAGCATATTGTTGCCCGAATTACAGTATCCAAGTAAACTGTTGGTCAAGGGGCGGCGGCTGCAACAATGTGTGCGGTAACTCCCGCGCAGCTGCTGAAAACCCGAGCGCAACTAATTCTGCCGCTGGCCTTCTGTCGCCGATAACGTTGTATATCTGCCACTTGAATATGAGAGAGAGAGATGCGGGGTCTGTTATAGAGGTCGAGAGGGGGTGAAGGGTTAATTTATTTTCGCCTTCTTGGTATGCACGTGGGATTCAGCAGCTCTGCACTTGCAGAGTTCCCCTTGTTCTTTGGGTCCAAGCTAATCGCACAAATCAATAATGGATTTGTTGCTTTTTTTTTGTAAGCACCCTACCACGGATTCCAGTTTTAACAGCACCTTAGCTGTTCGGAGCAGCATTAACAAAATTCATTAATTATAAATGCCATTGTTTGCTTTGACAAATTTTTGTAAATTTGCTTACGGAGATTTTGAAGCTTTACCTGCTGGAGCTTTCGATAAGCTCTCGTTTTCTTATTTCTGATATTCGTCGAGTCTTTGTTATTTATGGGTGGCAAATTCGCTTGCTTCCCCAAAACATTGGTCTTTGTGCCCGCCTTTCCGAACAGATTTGCGGAAAGTTTACGGCTTGGTGCAACATGTGCAATATCCAGCTTCTTGTTACTGATCAGTAGGTCATTGCTATACTGTCTCTGGGAGACACACGTCCGTCAGCTTTGCGGATACAGTAAACATCTTAATTTCCGCTTCCTTGGTGAGAACCTTCACCAGCAACAACTGCTCTGATCCTAGGGCTCATTTTTCAACCGGAAGAATCTTAAAACAGGCCAAATACCTGCAGATGTATTCCCGTTTTTTGAAGATGCGTATAAGAATACAGATCATAAGTCAATTGCACTGCGAATAGCAGGTAGATGACCTGACACGGAAAATCCTAAAATATTTGGCCTGTTTTAAGGGACCATTATTGGGATTTCCTTACTTCCTTTCATGTAATAAAATTATTCGGTCAACCCTCAATGACCTGCTCATGCAATACAGCTGAAGACACCCGAAGCACTCAGATCAGTTGAAGACACCCGAAACACCCGACTCATTTCAAGACACCCTACTCATTTTCAAGACACCCGACTCACTTTTCCCAAAAACATGGGTGTCTCAGACACTCGCTTCATTTGCTATTAGTGTGTCGGGTGTCTGTGCAAAAGAGTACTGGGTGCGCAAGTGCCCATTTGAAATGAGCTTGTGCAAGGCACACACCCTTATTTTAGGGTGGTTCGAGTGCACTCATTGTCTGGGTGTACCCTTGCCGTTCTCTGATATGAACGTTAACCGTCTTCTTTTAGTCGGTAGTGTGATTCACTTATGAACGAATTTTGTCTCCCATATTAAACGTTTGTCAGTCCTTGGTGAACTGGCCACTGAAGTAGGCGACATCGCGCAAGCTGGAGCTGTTCTACATTATATAAGTTGCCTCGGCTTGGGAGTCCACTAGATGTACGCCCATCTGGGCAACTTCAGGTGGTCTCAGAGCGACCTCAGTGGGATAAGTCCAACGTGCTTCTGCTCAATAGACCCTATTCGAACCGCTAGTCGGCCCTACTCGGAGCATCCGTTTAAGTTTTCATGTCAACGAGTGCGAAAACCGAGCTTTTCATCCAAAGGAGAAGCAAAGAGCCGGCTTGCAACCTTACGCAGCCGTGGTCTAACGGCAATTGTAGGTTCCATCATAAACTTGCACTTAAAATTACATAATGGAGTCTGGGGCTGATGCATCTCGAACTACTATGTGTCAGCCAGGGCCAAGTTCATGAAGCTGTACAATAAGGGCAACGATGAGGTGGCCATTGGAGGCTGTTAGCTGCAGTGATTGATCCTTCGACAGCCTACAAGTTCCTTCGCTCTGTACAAACTGAAACGTGTCGCGTGACATCTGTTGGAACGACAAAGCGTGCGTTGTCAAGGTTGTGTCTGCTGCTCCTCAAGGACTCTGTTGAAGGTCCAATCTTCTTTGAACTGCTGCAGGTTTTTGAATAGATGGGAACGAGTAATAAATATTGAAATTGAACTGCCACGTTAAAAACTATTAATTGCGTAACAACTCTTTTAAAATATTTATTTTCCTATAACTAACAATTCTAAATATAATATAAAGCAAGACAATGTTCCGATTTGAAAAATCTTTGGAAAATCGATTGATATCCTGCCAGTGAGGGTGGTGTTCCGACCTCTCAAGCTCTGCAACCGCCAACATTCTCGTTCGTAGCCGATAAGGATCCTTCCTTCCCAGCCGAGAGCTACTTGATTCCAGCTCACAAGTGCATTTCATCACATCACAGCTGACCAGCCAATTTCAGCTTCATCGGATCAATCGGTTAATGTTTTTCTGAAGTCTTGCTTATTCACGTATTCGGTATACATTGGGGCAGTAGTGTCTATATCAATAGAAAACCAAAATAAAATGAAACAAAGTCTGCTGCTAAGAGAGAGATCAAAACTCCACGCTTTTTAAGCCCGTTACTCGTAAAGTAAAAGGTATATTAGATTCGTTGAAAAGTATGTGACAGGTAGAAAGAAGCATTTACGATGTATATATTCTTGATTATTATCAATAGCGAAATCAATTAAGCCATGTCCCTCTGTCCGTATGAACGCTGAGTCTCAGGAAATATAAGAGATACAAAGTTGAGAATAAACAGCAATATTCTTCGTCACTATGCAGCGCAAGTTTATTTCAGCATTCTGCCACGCCCACTCTAACACCCATTAATCACGAAAAACTGAGACCACTGAAATCTCAGGAACTATTACATCTAGAAATAGAGGCCACGCCCTCTTTTACGCTCACTAAGCTCGAAAGACGATTTTTGCTTTTTGTAGAAAGGCTGATATTTCGGTTACTTATAGTAACCCAATAGAAAGTTGGGATTAAGCATGCAGTTTCTAGTGGTGTCCCCAATGCGTATTATTTTCACTATCTGGACACGCCCAATTTAAAGCCCACAAAGTGCGGAACACTAAAAATCCTAACATAGGTAACCAAAAAAACTGGAGAGATTGGATTAGAACCATTTCGTGACATTTTTATGCAGCCACGGCTTCTATAACGCTCACAAGCAGCGGAAAACCGTGGCGACCATAATATTAAAATGCATGTGCTCTTGTATAATATTTCTATTTTATATCTATCAATTTACAAATTATTTTTTAAGCGGATTATTACTTCGCTGACAAAAGGTGCTACTAGCGAAACAAATAATTAAAAATTGTTGAAATCAGTAACGGGTATCTTATTGTCGCGGCACCCGACTATAGCATTTCTTTTTATTTTCGGCTGTTCTCGCAAGAAAAAACGGTTAACAGCTTTTTGCGAGCTATGCATAGGAATCGCTATTATTATTATATATATTTGTAGTTGTTCCATTTGCTTAGCTCTGTTAGGTTATGTTAAAAACGAAGAGAGCTAAGAAGATTGTATGTACAGAAAGTTGTACAACTTACCTTTTATATGACATTTTCGTCATTTTGTATGTAAATACCTTATACTAGTATTTGATTATTTTACTTTTCATTTACATATATGTATTTATTTCTCATAAAAAGTAACATCTTTATAGTAGGTCTTCCTGAAAGAAATTGGGTATGCAGTTTTGCTGGCTTTTAACGCATAAAAATTAGGTTATATAACACATGTGTAGATTATACAAAATTCTGTTATGTTAAAATTATATGAATAGCTTATGATTCAAATCTAAGCAGTACATTATATTCTTATACCGCAGAAATATGATCGGGTAGTTCACCGTTTTCAAACTTTTCCCACATTCGCAAAAATAATTTTTCTAATCCTTTGGCATACTGTGAGCAATCAAAGAGGGGACTTTCCACGCGAGCTTTCCATACCTTTGCTCGTAAAGCTTTTAAATATTCTTTATTTGTGCCTAGACGTATAGCAATATTTTGGTATTCTTCCCTTGTACGCGCTATCAACTCTGGACATCCTAGAGTAGCAAGCTGAGAGGCAGCAACTCTGAAATAAAAAATATAAAATTTTAATGTTTTCTGAAGCTACTTTTAAGATTATATAAATGTCTACTATGGTTGAAGGATTCCTATTTTCGAAACTATTTTCTAAGTTTTGTTGTTAAAGAACGTTTGGAAGCTAGAAATATATTTTACAAAATTTAAATACAAAGCCTAAACTAAAACTATAAACTTGCGCCTTATCTTAAGAATCTGCCTGCTTAATCTCAACTTGGTATCTCTTATAGGTCCTGAGATCTCAGCGTTTACACGAACAGACGGACATGGCTTAATCGATACTGATCAAGAATATATACTTTACTCTACGAGTAACGGGTATAATTAAGCTGACGATTCTAGCTATAATAGATCCCAAAGTCACCGAGCTTTTAGTTTTTATGGGAGATATTATTTCGCTATCACAGAGGCCGAAAAAAACGTTGCGGTGGCAACTTTTAGATCAGAATACCTAATCCCAGCGTTCATACAAAATATGTTTGATTTGTGGGCAAATCAAACAAAAAGGACTTTTTTGCAAATAAGTCATCTGCACACATTTACATAAAATTAGACAAAAGATGGGTCGAGGTCACGATTCATCCCTGGATTTGCGAAAAACTACAATAAAATTATACTTAGAGAATAGAATTAGAATTATTTCCACAATACAGAGTATATATGATACAAAAATTCGTAACCACGAAAGAGTTAGCTGCAGAACATTAAAAAGCAAGAAGGTAGGCATAAAACTATATATCTTAAAGATATCACAAATGTTAGTAACCATTCCATCCGGAACTGCCTGCACAATCAAGACAATTTTTTTTAGGAGAATGGTATATTTTCGAATTGTTGATTTATAAAGTCCGCTGTCACTTATTGATTGATTGATATTTGATAAAAAGGTGGCATAAATTAATGCCGCTTTAAAACCCGTGAACGTGTTTTAAAGTAAAGCAATTATTAAATATCGTTTAAATAATTCTAAGCGCTTCACAATTCGGTGTTAGGGGCCACGAAAACGACCTCACGCATCATACATAGGTGCAGTTAGCATCGGATGCTTATCGGGCTCCGTGGTTTATCAACTTGCGGCATTAATTTAATTTTTGACGGATAAGCAGTTGCCAATTTCGACGAAAGTAGGAGCGAATGAATTCCGGCTTTCATGCTCTCAACCTAACATCAGACGGCTAGTGATCGTGGATATTGAATTTTGATTATGTTATTTGATTTGAGTTCATATGGTCAATATATTTCAGATGTGAAAAAAATTGTGGGCGTGGCACCGCCACAACCTCAAGATCATATGATAACTCAAAAACTAAGCAAGATATTTCGATTCTATTTTTTGATTTGAGTTCATATGGTCAATAGATTTCAGATGTGAAAAAATTATGGGTGCTGCAATTCAAACTGCAAAATCAGATATTAACTAAAAAACTAACTAAAATTGCACTGCAAATTTACTTTGCGAACATGTTTGTTGACTGTTTTAAAACACAAGAACAATGTTTGAAATAATAATTTGGAATTTTTTTTTTAGTAATAGAAGGCGCTGCAGCATAATTTAAGGAACAATCAAGCATTGGCTCATTTGAGGTTGCGTCCTTAAAACTTAAATATCTCGAAAAGTGCATATAAGTGCACTTTCTGGTTCATTCGAATAAGAATGAAATACTCTAAAACATAGTCTTTATTTCATTGATGGACGGCTGGACTCACTTTTAATGTCCATTTAAAAATGAGATTTAAATCTAAAAATACGTTTCTTAGACTACTTACATTTTCACCCTATTTTTAAACTATCAAGAATTTTTCCAACATCTGACGTACAAAAAAACATATTCAATTCAAAGTTTTTCATTATATTCTCTAATTTTTTACTTTTCACGATTTTAAAACTGCGCTCAAATCCCAATATTGCCACTGCTTGTAAAGATAAACAGCAACAGCTGTTTTTATCAGCTGATTTCTTCGCAGTTGCGCCATTAGAATTATTAGAATTTCTGTTATGCAACACTTACAATTGATATAATGTGAATGCAATTCAGCTAAAATGATTTAAATTTTTTGAAATTTCAAAAAAATGTTTTTTTGCCAGAAAAACGGTCAAATTTCCTATATATTTGTACTGGCAAATACCACCTTTGGCTGCCTCTCATTACACAGCGGATGAAACATTGGCGACCGTGGCAGGACGGCTTTTCAGAACATTAACAACTAGGCTGCGAGGGATCACAAGGGATTCAGTTTTCTCAACTTGGACTTTTTCGTTCACATATTATTTGATCTTACGCAAATAATACTAATAAAAAAGTCTGGTTAAATCTAGTTATAGAAGTGTGATTTATTTAACCTACATATGTATGTATGTATATAAGTCTTAAAAGCTTTTCCGAAAACGCAGGCTTGCTGTACCCCAGTTTTACATCAAAAAATTTCGCAGTTACTCTAAAACTGTTGTATTTTTGTTGCGATTTAGAAGCGATTCGCATGCGTCGATACGGTCAAAGATGTTTTTTTGCGTCAATTCGTGTGGCACCCATACATCGAGCTTCTTAGTGACTCCAAGCTTCTTCAAATGGTTTATAACGGCTTGAAGACTCATGCCAAGCTCTTGACCGATGCTACGGCTGCTACTATGCCGGTCTCTTTCGACCAATTCTGCGATTTTATCGCAATTTTCGACGACAGGCCTTTCGGAGCGTGGCGCATCTTCGGCCACCTCTACACCAGAACGAAAACGTTGATACCATCGTTGTGCGGTGGAAATGGAAACTGTATCGGGTCCATAAACTGCACAAATTTTATTGGCGGCTTGAGATGCATTTTTGCCTTTATCGTAGTAGTACTGTAAAATATGCCGTATTTTCTCTTTATTTTTCTCCATGGTTGCGACGCTATAACTCACGAACGACTTAAAAGAAAAGACAATCAAGAGCTTTCCAAAAAGGTATAGTATAACCTGATGCAACGAATAAAACAAGAACTATGTGCTTTCAGCGCCAACTAGCGAAAATACCGCAAGACTTGTTTGACATCCTAATATTTTGGGACCACTACTTGTGACGATAACTTTTTCACAAAATCTATTTCAATAAAAAATTAAATTTCTCGAAGAAATGACCAATTTTGTTAACTTCTTTAAAAAAAACTATGTTCATGAATAAAAGTGTATAAGATCTGAAAACAATGAAATATAGTGAACACCTTACATTCTGTAACACGGATGCGAGATTGAAAATATGTCCAAATTGTAGTACTTGTGAATGAAACCTTTTACAAACTGGCTTTTCAATATTTTTATTTCACATTCACTTTACATATATTTATTTTATTGCTGAATAACACTCAAGAGACTTTCAACTAAAAAGTGCGCGTCCAAAATCGCCTTTTATAGACGAGCCATCTTTGCGTTCAGATCGGAAACTTTCACACCTTCCTCGACATTCTATAAATCAGGGGTACTCAAAATCGTCATACGGGAGAGCATTTACTAACACAAATACAAAAATGCGGGCACATATTTAGTTACGTCATTGTGTTGGACTGTTGCCTAAGAAACAAAATTCATCACTCATTTTAAGGTTATAAGGCCTCACATAGTTTGTGACGTCACTATCAGTTACTCAACATACTTTCTCAGACAATAGGTGGCGCCTTGTGAATTTCCACTAGCAAAATGAATATTTTAAAATTGTGTAAAACAGTATCGGGTATCTTATAGTCGCGGCACTCGACTATAGCGTTTCCTCTTGTTTTCATCTGTAGACAAGCCGAGATAAGCACTAGTTACTGTCCATTCGGTAGACAACGACCGGTCCAGCTAAACCTCCCAGAGCTACCCTGGAATTGGTATGCTGACTGGGCGGCCACTTGGAAACCACACATCTGTAAGCAACTGAGTTGCAGTCTAAGCATTGTCCAAATTAGGGCAACAGCCACAGAGCAACAGCCACTTAAGTCGTTGTCCCGTTAACTTTTGCTGACATTGCAACAGGATGCCCCGACCACTAAGATGCAGGAATTCGAACAAGCAGAATACTTGGACTGGATTGACATTTGTTTATTTTACTTTGTATTGTTATGTATAAGTTTCTATGTATAGTATATCAAAACAACAATATATAAATCAGTCTTAAACTTCAACTCAACTTTAAAAGTTATTCTTCTCTGGAAAAAATCAATCACACCTCTAAACTAATTTTAAAATATTATTAAAGGATTCTGGACTCGCTTAAACTCCCCACACACATATAACCGAAGGTGAAGTATTCTTGTGAGTTATTGAAAAAAGTGTGAAAGATATTTATGGAGACAAGCAAAGAGATTATTTTTTTGTAAAAAGAAATAAAGCTACAAAAAAAATATATTATAAAAAATTGTAAAGTAAAGAAGATGTGTGCAGTTAAAGGATAACATTTTTTTTTAATACCTGCAGTTTTAGCGGTTTTTCAAGGGAATTTCTTTGGAAGCTGGTTTCAGTGGATAATAATTATATTTAAAAAAGACAAACAAGATCCAATATCCTGAGACAATCCTTGTGATCCCATCGTTCATCGTGTTCAGCAACGAAGTTATTTAAGGGAATTTCTTTGGAAGCTGGTTTTAGTGGACAATTATGTAAAAAGTGTGAGAAAAAAAGGAAATTTATAAGAAAGAAAATCAGATGTCCTGAAACAATCCTTGTGATCCCATCGCGTGTTTTGCAAGGGAGTTTAGCAACGAAGTATTCAAGGGAAAGCTGGTTTCAACTGAGATTGAAATTATTAATAAAAGTGCTTGTCGATTCATATATAATATATAAAATAAGGTAATCAATTTTACACGAACCAGTTTAGCAATGAAGGGTTATTCCAGATGAAAATTACAATTGAAATGTTTAAGTTATAAATCTACCTTCACAGGTGATTCCACAAGAATACAACACTCAAGGGATTACACCGCACAATAGCTAAGAAGAGCAACACAAACATGACTTAAGTATAATACAAATTAAATAAT